GATTATAGTACAACCGTCATATTACACAAGGGTGGAATTAAAAATATCTGTATTATATCGGTTGATGTTATTAATTAATTATATTACTCTGGTTTGTTTCTCACACGGTTTGAACTCAGGTGTGCGATATTTTCTTACCTGTATTTGTTTTCGTTCACCCATGGTTATTTTTGGCGCCGTATCTGTAAAGATTGGTGTTGACTGTATATATATATATATATATATATATATATATATATATATATATATATATATATATATATATATGCATTCTAGTATTTTGATTTAAGAGCCCGTTTTTTTCAGTAGTTTATTGGGTAGCTTAGACACTTGTATCATGCAATTTAACATAGTTTGGGCCTTTGTCTGTTTGAACCGTGTCAGTCATGTGCTTCATACACGAGAGGAATAATGATGACGATTGGCATTGAGGCGCATTGTTTGCGTGCATGCATCCTTGGTGGCCTGTTTTACAGTGCTGTTTGTTCTCATCAGCCGCCATCAGAATACAGACTGTCACAAGGCCTTTTATTGGGTACGTCATAGTCTGCGGAATCTGGCTCCAAGGTTTGCATGTTCGATAGCCACTCGTGCCGAAACGACTAGGTCGTTAAAAATACCTTTGTTCACTCTAACACTTATCTCTCGTTTTCAACTGTTTCTCTTCCTCGCTTGGCAAACTGGTTAGGAACAATTTGTCCCACTAGAAACGAATCATTCAGTGAACGCAGCTACCATCTGACGATCTACTGGTGGCTTTTGTGAATGTGCAGAGTAATCTGTGATTAAAGTGGGCATAAATGTGGTTGACGGACGTTTTCTAATCTTTGGTAAAGCATCACAATCCGTAAAGCTAAGTGTTTGTCACACAATCAATGCGAGCACTTCTATGACCGCCAGTAGTGTTGTTCGGTTTTGAAATGAATCTTATGTTGAGATTTTCTCAGTCAAAGTGTGCGTTATTATTCACTGCCTCATGCGGTAAAGTAGGGATTACCCACACTACGACTTAGTTATCTATAGAAATGTGATGTAAAATTAGTTTCACAAAAGTGCCCGCAACATTTGGTGATACGGTACAAATCTTATCACTTAACAAGTGGCCGTCATTTACAGTGTAGCGTGAAGGGGAAAGACCTTTTTGTACTTACAAGCACATAGTTTTTTCATCTCGAAATGCAGTAGTTCTTTTGAGCTCGTGGGGATTGCTACGTGATCCAAATAAATCATCACAGTTGCTTGGTTTAATTCACTGATTGTAAACACTGTAATAGGACTGCGCAGAGCATCACCTTCCCAGGTGGAATAAATTCCGGTTTGAGATGATAACCGTGCAAATGGTATGTATATTCCAGGCAGTTATTTTTTGCGGGTATACGTGGGCGGTCTTGCGCAATCCGCTTGTTTGTGTTTTTTCGTTCGATCAGTAGTTGCTTTTTGTTCATTGTAAGATACGGTATTTGTGTAGCTCCCGTCACAGTCTATGGTGACGGTTTGTGCTCTGTAAACAATGTGCCAGTGTGCTCCCGATCGACAAATTGTGTCCGTGCGCGTGCCGGGGTGCGCACGCGCCCGAGAGAGAATGTTGTCCCAACAAAATTGTAGCACAATTAGATAATTAGGGACGGGGAGGGTGCGCGAGAGAGAGAGCTGTGCTTGCGATTACAACAAATATTTAGTTGCATCAGCAAGCAAGTGTGACTTCGTCAACGAGGACAGATTTTAACAACATTACTAAGTTGGAAACAAAAGCGATTAGCTGACAATCACATATTTTTAATCAAACTTTCACCTATCAGACCGGATCTGACAGAGTTTCACCTCATTCCTTTCGGATAAATACGTGTCTGCAAACACATAATCACACATTGAATGTTGAAAAATAACAAAGCAAAATTATTTGCTCTCTTTCCGCCTGTCACCGTAATTTTGATGATTCGTTCGGCCAATGAGGTTTTTTCTACTCTCTCTGTTTCTCGCTGACTAACACACAGACTTCGGTGCGTTACCTCTCTCTTTATATTTCTTCTACGATACAAGTAAGTGTGCCATTTCTCCCTTCATCCTTTTGTTATCGCCCGTTGCACGTGTGACAGAATGTCTGCACTATTATCAGGTTGGTTGTTTTTTGTGATTTTTTTTTTCAGTGAAACGTGTCTAACATACAATCTCATGTTAGACATTTATTACTCTATTCCTATCACAAATTTCATTCCTAAGGCGACCGTAGTAGCCAAGTGACGTCACCAGTGTACTGACCCTGCGATTTAAACTCATCCATGCCGTCACTTTTACTTCTCCATTTATCATCACAGTTATGAATTTGTGGTTCATCTTCTCTGAACGTTGATTGGTCATGCGAGTCTGATAAAAAAACGGTTGTTTATTGTCATTATTGTTTTTATTTATTACTGTCTGTCGTCTTTTAGCTTCACAACGACTGGTAAATGGAACTTACGATAAAAGAGATCATTTTGCCCAGGGCGATGTAGGCTACACGTCTCTAACTCACTCCTTACACGAATCAATTCTGGAAGAGCCGAATGAGGACTCACGGACTCCCTGCCCCTCAGAGCACGTTCCGATCCGCTCTCAGTCTGTAGACAAAACATCTGAACCGTCAGACGTGATAGATGGGAATTATTTTCTGCGTGTCACCGATCAAGTTCAGTCTGAAATTGCAATTTTAATCGATCAAACGGAAGCGGATCTCGAGTCCGGTCCAATGGATGAGGAAGGTAAGTTCTCTGCAAGTAATATAAACGATGGTGACGATCACACTAATGATTATTGTGCCGCTTACACGCGCCTCGACCAAAATGACTTGACGGTAGGACTTGGTTGTATTTGGTCAAATTCGCTGCATAACCCCAATACTAAAATTTCCACTGCTG